CCAAAAGAGTTAAAAACTCCTATTCTGGTTCAACACCCACTGTAGATGGGGAAATCAAGGCCCAGAGCAGGCCGTGCTTTTCTTGGATGGATGGATGGATGGACGGACAGACAGATGAATGGATGAATGGGAAAATGAAAACATAGCATAGTAATAACAATAATAACTCTCATTGACTGCCTACCCTGAGCCAAGCAAGTGATTTCACCTTCACAATAGCCCCATGAGGAAGATGATGTCATTGTCCCCATTGAACAGATAAGAAAACTAAGACACAGAGATATGAAGTAACTTACCTGAGGCCACACAGATCATAGATGGAAATGCTGATTCCAACTCCTGAGCCTGCATGCTGAACCTCCCTCCTCTATGACTGCTCTTGATCAGTCCAGTGAAGCATGGTTTAGTGCTGAGCTCTGGGATCACGGACCGAGGTCTGAACTCCAGCTTCGCCACTGGCAAAACGTGTGGCTCTGGGCAACTTACTTCACATCCGCAAATCTATTTTCTCATCCACAACAGGAAGAGAGCAGCATCTCCACCCTTGGTCAAAGGTGGATTAATAAGGCATGGGAAGCACTTAGCACAGCGCTGGCACATAGTAGTAACTGCTCGATAATTTTGTTCTGATTGATGAAACCAAGGCACAGGCCCATTTCAAAACCGTGCTATGTGCCTACGTGCTGAGATCTCCAGAAATTAAGGAAAAAAGGTGTCAAATCCCAAATCCCAGTTCCTAGCGAGACCTATAGGTATCAATAATTAACAAGTATCTTTTGGAATTTTGCTTTCATGTGAGGGGACAAAGGGGTGAGGCTAAAACCGGAAGCAAATATATGAAAATGCCAGAGTTAGTGACTTCCTTCCAAAGAGAACAGAGAAGGGGGAAAGCACAAACACTTCCCCAGCCAGCTGATCAAAGTTAAAATGAACAGGGACAAGTCATATCGATGGCATGTACCTTTGATATAAGGAGAATGGCACTTCCACCTCCCGAAAACCTATAACCCCTGTCTAATCACAAGAGAATTATCAAACTCGAATTGAAGGACGTTCTACAAAATACTCCTCAAAACTGTCAAGGTCACCCAAAACAAAGAAAGCTTGAAAAACCGTCAGTCTAGAGGAGACTAAGGAGACATGACAACTAAATGTAATATGGCATCTTAGACGGAATCCTAGAGAAAGTAGGTAAAGGATAAGGAATGTGACTCAAGCATAAACTTTAATTAATTATAACGTATCAGTATTGTTTCATTAGTTGTGACAATGTGTGCCATACTAATGTTAACATTCAGAGAAACTGGGTGTGGATTTAGGGGACCTCTCTGTACTCTTTTTGCAACTTTTCTGTAAATCTAAACCTCTTCTAAAATAAAAACTACTCTTTAAAAACAAAATGTTATTGTATATCTAGGTAGTGAGGTAGTGTTTTCTAAGTCATCTAGTTGAATATGTTTTGCTTTTGTCATCAGAAAAAACAAATTCAATAAACTTTTTGAGGAAAAAAAATGAATGAATGGGTATTTGGTCCTTCGGAGGTAGAGTGCTATATAAATAAAAGTATAATTAGAGTCCTTCCTTAGGCAGCGATTAAAACCCACTTTATCATTCTTCTCTCAAGAGGCTCTAGCCATAGGGACTCCTCCTGGGAGAGGGAGGAGTGCCTCTGAAACCTGCCAGCACTTTTTCTGTCCGTGCTGGGCTCTTACAGGCGGGGGAGGGGCAGGAGCCAGGGCGGCTGCTACACTGGCTCAAGGATTTGTCCCAGGTAAGCCTAGAGGCAAATCAGAAAAGCCTGTTCACCAACTTTCAGACCAAGCGTCAGCCTGCTCTAGGCCATCCAGCCTAGGAGTCAAGAAAACCAAAAACGGTCCTTTGTTCTCACCATATAAACAAACAAACAGAAGACAAGACTAGCCTGGACCACTCGCTGTGTCCCAGGTATGTTCACACTCATTCATTCATTCATCATCATGTAGACCTCACACGGTTCTATAAAGCCGATATGGTAACCCCCCTCACCCACAATTTCACTTTCCACAGTTTCAGATACCCGTGACCAACCGCGGTCTGAAAAATATTTAGTGGAAAATTCCATAAGAAAGCAATTGATGAGTTTTACATTGCACGCCATTCTGAGCAGCGAGATGAAATCTCGCACCATCCCACCCTGTCCCCTTGCCCAGTGTCTCCACGCCGCATGCCCTCCCAGCCATCAGTCACTTAGTAGCCTGCATTTCACTTGGTTATCAGATCGATTGCAGGGCGGGGGGCGGGGGGCAGGCGGTAGCAGTGGTCATGTTCAAGTCACCCTTATTTTACTTAATCATGGCTCCGAAGTGCAAGAGGAGTGATGCTGGCAGTCTGCATATGCCACAGAGAAGCCCTAAAGCGCATCCTTTCAGTGAAAAGGTGAGTACGGTACAATAAGACTTTTTCCAGAGAGACCAGCGACACGCAGATAATTTTTATTACAGTATATTGTTACAATTGTTCTCTTTTATTATGTCATTAAACTCTTATTGTGCCTCATTTATGAATTAAACTTTTTTATAGGTATGCCTGCGTGTATGTATAGGAAAAAACATAACATAATATATGCAGGGTTAGGAGCTAACCACATGTCAGGCATGCACTGGGCGTCTCGGAATAAGGGGAGACTCATGGATAAGGGGGGACCACTGCACTCTATGACTACACTTTGAGGCTCAGAGAGGGTCCTTGAAGGTCAGATGCAGAATATAAACCAATCTGCTCACCAGAACTGCCTGTCTCTAACCCTTTCAGGGATGGGCTGAGACCTTGGCAGATGACTGGACCCCATTTGGAGAACAGGATGCTAAAAGAAGGACATGTTAACATTGGGCAGCCACCCTTCAGAAGACGTCCCACAGCACCCCACCACCACCACCCAAATACCAAGGGCCATGGGCAACGGCCAGTCTGTCAGGCTCATCCCATCCCAAACGCCAATGACGGTTTTGGCTCTTTGGCTCTCAAACCGCTCCCTGTTCCAGGCTTCCTCCATTATCTGGTATCCAATTCATACGCGCACAGGCTCTTGGTGACGGCCTCAGAAGGAAGGAATAGGGGAGAGACAGTACTGAGTCATTTCTAATTGTAATAGGGTTGGGACCGGATTCTCTGAGTTACCAACTAAACTCCAAGAAAGAACAGCTCAGCTTTCTCACACACAAGAAAAGGGTTTGCTTCTTTTATATATACAGGGCTGTTGCCTTCCAAGGGGTCCCTTGAAAGGCCGTACACTCATTCTAGTGCCTCTTCCAGAGCTCATTCAACTCTTCATCAATTGCTTTTGGAGCCACTTTCTACCCAAACTGATCAGCCTGTTCGATTGCCCAAAGTATTCCTTAACCCCAGCATCCAAGTGATTTCAGAATCCAACTACAGGTTCCAAAATCCAACTACAGGTTCAAAAGACCAACACCTTCTCCCCTGAGGCCACTCCCAGGAACCCCAGGCACAGTCTGAGAACCGGCCCCATGCCAAGAACAATAGGCCTTTCTCAGTCGTGTTTGTTGTCCAGACACCTGCCTTCAGGGTCAAAGCTAGTAGTGTGCGTGTCCCTCCTCGCTCCCCGCTTCCCATCGAAGGGCCTGAATCATTGCTCAGACAGAGGGAGTGTGGGGCACCCCCACCCACATGCCAGACCTGGCTCTGCCTCCCCTAGAAGCAGAGCCTGGGCACTGGGACCAGCCCAGGCTCTGCTTACACCACTAATGAGTCTTAAGTGTTTGGCTTGGGCTCCTGCCAGTCCCACCCCTACGCCAAAAGTGGGGTGGGAGAGAACAAAACAAGGCTCGTGCCAGCTCAGCTCTGCTGGGCCCTGGGAGGGTGGACACCATGTGGCGTAGACCCACCCAGGGGCGCAGCCAGGCACCCGCTTGAGGCCCCCCGCCTCTCCTTCCCCTCCACCGCAGGGGCCTTCTCAAAATCAGAGTATGCGTACACCTGCCGATGGAATCCCAGGTGGGCCCAGGTACGCGCATCTTTAAGCAGCTGCCCAGGAGGCTGTGACTGACGCAGCGAAGGTGAAGTCCCACAGCGCGAGGCAGCCGGGGAAGGGAATTCGGGGCTGGGTTGCGTCATCGTGCGCACGTGCACATTCCTAGAGTTCACGGCTTTGGTCAAATTCTCGAATTAAGTCAATAGTTCCCATAACCCCAGAAAAGCAGAAAGGCTATGATGCTCTGGCCAATGAGATGACCGCTAAGTTCAGCTGCGATCTGACCTGCCGCATTTCAGTGACGGTTCAGGTCCCGCCCAGGCGAGTCCCTAGGAGCCCCCGCCCTTTGCCAAACCTCGGGGAAAGACGATGCCCGCTCTTAAAGGGCTAGCAAGTCTGGGGAACCCAAGATGACAAGGAACTAGGATGCCAATGACCAGGGCTTTGGCTGAGGAAGGCCAGAATCCAGGGGACATCCCAGAATGCATGGGCCGAAAGGCTATAAGGACCCTTTAGACTCACAGAAACCAACCCCTTGGTGAGAAGGGTGAATTTTCACCAATATCACCTCCTCTCTCCCCTCTGGCTGCATAGCTAAACTACACACATTTCCCAGTCTCCCCAGCATTTAGCAGAGAATTGAATGCCGGCCAATGGCATTCAATTCCTTCTCCCCCACCAGATGCTACGGAGGACTCCAAGGCCCCTGCAGATGGCCGAGCCACAACAGGAAAGGAGCCTGGGCTCTGAATGACTGTGAGGCACAGGGCACCCCCACCACCAACCCACCGGGACTGGGCAGTTTATTTACAGAAAATAAGCTGCTGAGATTCGGGAGCTGTTGGAATCAGCAATCAGCCTATTACAACCAGTCTACCCTCCTCAGGGACACCCAGCCCAGGAGTGCAAGGGTGGTGACATGTTCGCTATCAGAGTGAGCTCCTGGTGGGAAACCAGCATTTCCCAGCTGCGGCCTGGGGCAGGGGACAGGAGGACGGGCGCCATGATCACACACCACAACCTAGGCAGCACCAATTCCCAAAAAACTTTATTATTTTAAGTGGCAAAATGTGATTGGTCTCTGTGGGGCACCTGGTAGGGCGGAGGGAGACCCGGGGTGGAGCTGGGCTCCACCTATTACAAAAATCAAAGGCTTTTATAAAAAATGCTATAAATTGGTATCAAAAGAAAACCCAGGGGAGGCTGGAGGAAGAAGCAGAGAGGGAGGCGGGAAGAGAGCGCGAGGGGGGAGGGACCAGAACCTTCGACCACTAACGAGGGAACCCGGGCTGGGAGGGGAGGTGACGGGGGAGTCGGGAAGGTGACACAAAGTGCATAAATGTGCCTCCCCAGACGCTCCTCAGAGGTGGAGGGGGACAGAGGCTGCAGCCTGGGGCATGGGGAGGCTCCAGCTGTCTCCTCGCTGGGGACCCCACGGGAACGGGCACTGCCTGAGACTGCCGGCTGGGAAGGACCTGCGCCGGGAGGGAGAGAAGAGGTCAGGGGTGCAGGCTGCGGTGGGCGCGGGAGCTGCTTCACCCTCCTCCCCCGCACCATCTTGGCCCCCAGACTGAGCTCAGCTGTGAGGCCGGCCCCTGCTGGGGACCTGGTGAGTATCCCCAGGGGTCCCAGGACAGCCGCAGGGCACAGGGACTGTCCTTGAGCCAGGATGGAGCCCTCCTCCTCGTCCACCTCAAGCCAGACGATGTCCTATTCTAGGGACAAAATGGAGGGGAAGCCAAAGGATCCATCAAGCCTCCCGAGCTCGGCCCCATGTGCTGGCAAAAGGGGGATGGAGAGCAGAGGGGGCCTCCGCACCCCTGAACCCCACTGTCCAACCCCAGCTGGGCCCAGGGCCTGTCCTCACCGCGGTGACTCCTCAGACCTTCTTCTTCTTCAGCTTCAGGGCTTGCAGCCAGTTGGGCGACGATCCTTCTGACCTAGAATGCAGTGGGCAAAGGTCGCAAGGCAAACCTGAAGAAAGCTGAACGAAATGAAGACCGGTAGAAATAACCCCCCACGCCGCCCCCAACCAGAGGAGGCAGCCTGCGGCCCGGCTGGGGAGACCAGAACTTGGCCACCAACTTCATAGTCAGTTTGCAACATCTCCACCTAACACCCCAAGCCTCGGCTCTCTCCTCCACTAAGTGGGGTTTTCCTCCTCAGGCCAACACGGAGAGGTCAGCCGATGCTCCGAGACCAGGTGACCCACCCTGAGGATTTCTCTGGCTTGGGAGGTAACGCGAGGGGCTTCCCCAGCCCCGGGACCTTGCAGGACTTGGAGCGCTGGACCGCAGGCTCCTTCTGGCTTGACTTGCTCTCCGTCGGCTCCCCCTCCTCAGCTGAGCGGTTCCGGGGGCGCAGCTTGGCCTGAGAGACGAGTCCAGATGCAGACGTGTCAGAGGGATGGGGAGGACCACCACAGAGGGCCAGGCCTTCTCCCAAATGCATGCAGTCCCCAGAATCAGGCCCGGACCCCTCTGTAGTCCTTCCGCCTGACAGAGAGGAAACCACTTAAAGACAAACCTCCCCCAGGAGCCGGGCCACGCCTTGCATGCAGCAGGCCCTCAAAGAGACCCCGCTGGACTGAATTCAAACTATATGGCTGGACAAATAGTGCGGACTACCCACCCTATGCCTTTGTTCACTCTGTTCCCTCCCCGTGGAAGGCCTCCCCGCCCCCCAACCCCCACAGCCACCTCCTGTGCACACCTCAAAGCTCAGAGCAAATGCTACAGGAGGCCTCCTCCGATCTACGCTCCCAACCCGCACTGTTAGTTAGGAAACAACCTGAGTCTCTGAACAGGCCCAGCCCTATCGTGTACCTCCCCAGGGCCCCCTAAACGTCTCCATTTACCAGAGCTAATAAGGGACATGGCTCATGTCCCCCACTACCCCATGAGGTCTGGGACATGGAACACACCTTGTTCCTCCTTCCATCCCACTTAGCACACAGCACAGGGTCCAGAAGGGCCCTCACTAGAGAGCAGAATGACAGGAAAAATGGGAAGAAGAGGATGGAGAAACGAAGAGATGACGGAGAGGAGAAAGGCTGGACGTGAGGTGGCCAGCTGGCCAGCTGGCTGAATGTGTTTGCTGAATGATCAGATGGTACCTTCAGAGCTGACGGGCTCAGGCCAGGAAAGAGGTTGACTTTCAGCCCTTTGCTGCCCAAGGACATCCGTGTCCGGCGGTTCTGAGGCTCCTCCACCACCTCCTCGTCCGAAGACGGCACACGAGCAGCTCGTGGCTCTGCAAGGGCCCAGGGCGGGGTCAGCACACGCAGCATCACCAGGCCCCCCAACCTGGCACACCCCAGACACCGACACAGACATCAAACGACATGTCGGCCCTACCCGTTGAGTCTTGAAACAGGCGTGCGTCCGAGTTGGCCGCCTCTGACAGGCCCAGGGTGCCACCGGGCCGGATGGCCGGGGCCCGGTGCCCACGCTTGCGCCCCAGGTTGGCACGGTTCCGATACATGGCACTGTCAAGAATCTCGGTGTCCTGTTTGGGACGGCGGCAACACCATTGCCATTGCTGTCCTGTGGTCCTGCCGCATCCCACCTGAGCCCCTCCACAGTAGTCAGCTGTGAGCGGACCCCTCTGGCAGCCCGGAGCCCCCTGTTCACGTGACGCGGCCACCGCCCTTCGCCCACCGCCCACTTTCTGCCTCCTGGACTGAGATTGCTCAGGCCCTGGTTCCACCACCCGCGCCCCCTCCTCGCCCCAATAGCCCACCCACTGCCCTGGGCTCGTCCTCCACTGACCTCAATGAAGGAGAAGTCCTGACTGGGGGAGCTCAGAGGAGGGCCTTGCGGGGGCCGCCGAGAGGGCCTCGTCGGGCCCTGCTCTCCCCGCCCAGTCCCTGCAGGGTCCCAGGTGCCGTCCACCTCTTCTGTCCGGCTGGCTTCTCCATCAGGCTGGGGCCTCCAGGAGGGCAGAGAGTCCTCCTCTCGGTCAGCACCTGCCATGGCTCCCTCCTCTTCCGAAAGTCGCCTGAGGCCGGAAGCTGCTGACTCCGAGCGGGCCGCAGCCCTGGAGCTGCTAGCAGCCAGCATCTCCTCCAGCAGGCCCTGGGAGCCCGAGGGTGGCGAGCGGGCTGGGCGCCCGCCAGGGCTGCAGAGGAGACAGACCAGGGACAGTCTCCATTAGGCCGCGTCTGCCTCCCTTGAAGCCCCCTTCCTAGGATCTGTCTCCACCCTCCCCCGACCTCCTCTTCTCCCTCCTTTCCATGCTTTTCCCAGACTCCTTCAGGAAGGGCACGGTCAAGGCCTCAGACAACACAGCACAGAGGAGACAAACTGGGCCAGCCGGCCTGGCAGGTTCAAATCCCGGGTCCATCGTCTCCTGAGACGCTGGATGAGTCCCTTCACCTATAAAAGCCTTGGGGTTCTCTACAGAGTCAGTGAGGGTATGAAGAGAGAATCTAAAGCACGGCACAGTATCTGGCGCTCAGTGTGCACTATAAACAGCTACTGTTACTGTTGCTATTGTTACTGCTTGGGTGGTCGTGTTGTTATTGTTACTGTTTGGGCGGCTGCTCGCCCTGGGGGAAGCCAAACGCTGGGCCGATCTGCCTGTCTACCTTCTTCAGCCCCCACCGTGGCCCATGGCATCTCTTCCTGTGCCCTGGCCTCACAGAACAGCCAGGGCCTCTCAGAGCACCCCAGGCCGCTGCAGGTTGCTGTGCACCCAGACACTCCATTCCCGTGCCTGGACAGCTCCCCACCACCCTTCCACTCGCCCTCCCTGCCATTCACTGCCCCTTCTGAAGCCAGCCCGCTCCCCTCCCCCAGCCACCGCCCCTCCTCAGCCCTGCAAGCCCAGGGATCCACCTGTGCCAGCCTCTGCCTCAGAGTCCAAGGTTCTTTGTCCCCACTGCCAGTCTGTGAGCAACTCAAGGACAAAGACAGGGCCCCTTTTGCCTCTGTGCCCCCAGCACCTGGCTCAGGGCCTGGCCGGGAGCAGGACTAAGCAAATGTTTGCCAAGTGAATAAGAAGTTGGGTCACCTTGTACTTCATCGCGGCTTATGTGTCTTCTGCCTCGCTGCTCCCTCAAAACACAACGCACACACACACAGCACAAGGGGTTCATGTGTTGTTCAGCTGCCACTTGCTGGCACACACAGATACGCCCTGCACACACTCACGGCACACCTCATGCAGGAAGGTATGCGCTGTTAATCCGTCACTCCCTACCAACACGCACGCACGCACGCGCACGCACACACACACACACACACACACACGCACCCCACGCTCACACCATGTATCCGGGCGGGTGTGGGAAAGGCTGGCTGGGCACCGGAAGCCAAGCCTTGAGTCCCCTACCAACTGGAGGAGGAGGAGGAGAGTGAGGCAGGTTAAGTCAGTACCAGGGCGGAAGGGGGTCAGTCGGGAGAGGACGCGTGTGTCAGTCTGTCCTTCCACAAGCTGCGGACAGGTGAAAATTAAAGAGGTCTGGGGAGGGAGGGAAGGAGGGAGGAAAGGAGGGAGGAGGCAGAGGGAGCAGCAGAAGTTCAGCTGCCCTGGATGGGGGCCAAAGCCAGCTCACCCTGCTGCTTAAAATCTGGGTGACTGGGATGGGAGGGGATGACACAGGACCCCACCCAGCCCGAGGAGGCCCTGCCCCGAGCCTTGCCCCAAGCCTCTCCCCGGGGTGGGGCGGAGAGCACACTGAGGAAGAGCTGAGGGGATGTGAAACAGCGGATGGGTGGATGGAAAGATCCACAGGCAGAGCAACACCTGGCCCCAAGCCAGCGGGCAGAGGACAGTGGAAGAGCAGGAAGGGCTCTGGGGGAGGCAGGGGGAGCGGAGCGGGGGGAGCGCTGGGGAATGCAGTGTGCCACGACCCTACCTGCCCGGCTAAACCCCACTCGCCCTTCTCCTCATCTCAGGAGCATTTTCCTACCTCTGAGCACCCAGAACACCTACAACCTCCGCTCCTCCCCAGCAGCGAAAGACAGACAGGGTGCTCAGGAGCTGATGCTGAGCGCTGCCACTCGGGGCAGACCTGGGCTCCGTCCCCTACGATGCCTGTGGCCTTGGCCAAGTTATTTATCTGCTCTGAGCCTCAGTTTCTTCATCTGTAAAATGGGGATAATAGAAGCACCTAGACTTTGCTGACTTTGTTGACAGAAATATGTGCCAGGCACATAGCTAACACTTGATACATTTTTAGGATAATCATCATGATCCTCAATGCAGGTTCCTGGCCTGAGGACTTGTCTCATCTTATACCATGGACGCCCCTCGCCCCACGGGGACATTGAGTCTCCTGAGGGCTGGACTCGATCCAACCCCACCCGCACATCGCCACTCCAGGTGCAAGCCCAGGGAATGGTATGCAGTTGATCTGCAAAAAACCAGCTTCCCACTGTTTCAGGCTCCAAGATCCAAAATAAGGGAGGTCCGGGCTGGAGCTGGAATGATGAAGCGAAAGGAGCAGCGGTTGGCCTTGACCCAGAGAGGCAGGAAGAGCAGCCAGATGTATGACCCCACGGTCAGGGCTGTGGGTTCTTGTGCAAGTCACACGGCCTTGCTGGGCCTCAGGCCACTTGCCCATGGCACGAGGGGGCTGGCCTCGGTCATCCACGCCTCTTGGAGTCTGTAAGAGCCCAAAATGCCTGCAGTCTACAGGCCTAGGGGGAAGGGAGGAAAATGACCAGGAGGCCGGAGAGGGGAGCGGCAATGCACCAGCTCGTGGGGGACCCAGAAACACCGCTCCCGTCAGGACGAGGCGGCCCTACACAGAGGAGGGGAGCCCGAGCTCTCCCTACAAGCCCCCCCATGCTGGACAGCATTCCAGCCAATGACCACCACTGGAGGAACCTTTGTCCCACATGAGAACAATGAGAAAAATGTCCCCCAAGGGCCTCGCTTTATGAACACATCCACCCAAATCTGCAAAACAGGTACAGCTACAAGTCGGGAGTGTTTTTTCAGTGGTTACCACGTGCCGGGCAGATCTCTATCACTTCACGTGTGTGAACTTCTAACCCACACGACAACCCTGCAAGTTTGGGGAGTAAGTTACTCCCAGCTTACAGACGAGGAGGAGTCGGAGGGTCACAAAGGGGGGTCGCAGAATCGGGACCCGAACAGCCAGACCGCTCCGAGCTATCCTCCAGGACATCTCGTTACCAGGGGAACCTCCAAAATTTCCTTCAGAGAGCGACTTTCCAGAGGATGGAATTTCCCTAAAACAGATGCTCGGCCCAGGAGCTTCTAGTGAAGCGAGTCCCCGTAACGTTGCCGCGGACGGAGGTAACTGTTTTCTCACTCCTGGGCGTTAACGGGCTCACACGTGTGAACACACACACACTTAGTCGCTACTGCGGCCACAGAGCACACAGCATTTTCCAAGCTTGTAGCACAGCCAGAAAACCTGTGACGGAGACCAAAACGCAGACAGCTGAGGACACCCAGACTCTCCGTCCCTCCCAGTCCCCTCATAATCCCCTGACCCGGCCAGCCTCTCCTGCCACCTTGAAGAAACCGAAAGGGAAGAGCGACACCAGCTGGAGGGGAAAGCTGGAGGGCTGTGGGTCCCACCGCTTAGTGGTCTGAGTGCGGAACGCAGCAGCTGCGCCTCACTGAAGCATTTAAGATCAAGTGGGAAAGAGGCACCGCTGACTCCGTGACCTGACTCAGCTCACACCACTGCCTCCCTGCAAACTGGAGATATACTCCCTTCCTGCCTCACTGGGGCTGTGAGGACTGGCGAGGTCAGACTCGCAGCCGACAGCAGAGTTCTCCAAGTCCCGGGAAGAGAAACTGGGCCACCGCGGGGCGACCACATTCCACCGGCACCCAGATAGTTTCCGGAGTCTAACGTTTAGAAAGGGAGGCTCAGAGACATCCCGGATCCCAGGAGCCTCTGGACTCAGTCCTGTGCGCGCACCCCCTTCGCTGCAGTCCCTACCTCTTCCCCACCTACAGCCCGGGGTCCCCGGAATGCTCCCCCTTCTCAGCTCCCCTGGGCATCGTCCTGGCCCTAGGGTCTGTCCACTTCCCCTACCCCTCTCCCCTCCTCAAATGCCTCTCCTGACCTCTCCACTGGCCTCCCCCTCTTCCCCCCAGACCCTTCCTGGGCCCTCCTCACTACCATGAGCCCCTCCACTTATAACGCAGCCCCTACCCCTCTCCTCCCTCCCCTCCCCTCCCTCCCATGGCCGCTGAGAAGCTCCGGGGTGGGAAAAGTCAAACTTCCTACTCAGTCAAGAGAATAAAACTGAATCTCAGTGGATGGAAATGTTAACGAAACAGATGCAATGCCCTGTCCTACCCTTTCCAGGTGTGAAATCACCTCGGTCTGTTTAGAACACAAAAATCCCTGAGACAGACTGTGGGTGGCTCATAAAACTACCAGTGTGTTCCTCTGGAAAGTTCTTTTTCAGCAACTCTGTTCATGGAGGCCAAGGTCATGGGGCCAGGGGCCAGGTCCCCATGTCCTTCAGGTTCTTAAACTGTTCCTTCTTCTGGACTTTGAGACAGGGCAGGCAAGAAGCACCGCATCCCTAACCTCTCAAGAGACAATGAGTACCGCTGTCCACTCTAGCACAGACCCGCGGCGGCTAAGGCCAAGAAGACACAGGGTCCTCCATCCCACGCTCACGAAAGCATCAGTGGTCCCTGGCCCAGGAGCGCCTGTGGCTTCAGCGTCACGCGGCCTGGGGAACGGCCGTTGTGCATGAGAGTGGAACCCACCAGAAACCACCCAAAGAGGGGACATACGCTATCTCCTCCAGCACAGCCACAATACAAAATCACCAAGGAAGCTTCAAGCATGGGCTGCAAGAGTAACACCTCAAACCTCACGTTCATCGTTTCAAAAAGGAAGTCACCTGTACGCGTGTCATAAAAGTCCAGTTAAAAAAAAATGTAAAAGTAAAAATTCATAATCCAAACCATCTCAATTTCCCAAACACTAAAAGTCCTTAGAGAAGGAAATTTCTTCCCTCCCCAGGAAAGGAGCCATTTTTCGGACAGCCACCGCACCTCCCCTCCCACGCTGGGATGGTGTTCCCTTACCTGGCTCCGAAGCCAGGGGCTTCTCCCGTCTCCGTTCTGCGGTCCTCAGGGAGGGTCTCCAAGGAAGGGGAGGAGTCATCTTCTCCCTGGGTCTCTGGCCCGCTTGTCTCGCCCACCCCCAGCTCCCGGGCCTCCACAGGGCCTCTGGCCTCCAGGCCAGTGCACAAGAGGCCATTTTCCCTGAGGCCCAGCTCTGGGTGCTGGCTGACCTCCCCCACCCCGCGCTCCCTGGCTTCACTCGGGGCCCCAGAGAGCCCCAAGTCCTGGGTCCAGTCCACCTGACCCACTCCGCATCCCCGGGGCTCCTGAGAACCTCCGGCCTCTGGGTCACATGGCACCTCCAGATTCCTCAGACCCAGATTGTTGCCCCAGTCCACTTGGCCCACCCCAAGCTCCCTGGGGCTGCAGCCAGCCCCTGCAGCCACATTTCTCAGCCCCAGGTCAGCTGTCCAGTCTGCCTGTCCCACGCCTCGCTCCCTCGACTTAAGGAACTCTCCAGCCCGCACACCTGACCAGTCGGTCTGCCCCACGCCACTCTCTCTGGCCTGGCTGTGGCCTCCTGCCTCCCCCACCCCAGCCAAATCTCTGGCCCTCACCCCGACGTCCGAAGTCCAGTCCTTCTCCCCGACCCCACTCCCCCGGGGCTCCTCGGACCCTCCAGTCTCCAAACGGCTGGCCAGGTCCACGTCTCTCAGGCCCAGGTTGTCTGACCACCCCATCTGTCCCACGGTGTCCTCCCTGGCCTCACTCGAGCCGCTGGAAACCACACAGCTGGACACTTCCAAGTTCCTGAGGCCCAGCTGGTCAGTCCAGTCCATGGGCCCGGCCGAGGTCTTCTCAGGAGACACAAAGTGGCCGCCTTCCATCTTGCCAGAAGGGCTCAGGCCAAGACCACTCAGTCGGTCATTGCCAATGACGCCAAACTGATGGCACCTCTCGGCGGCCTCCACGCAGAAGTCACCACTCCAGTCTCGCTGCCCTGGGCTGAAGGGCACCTCTGGCTGGGGGACAACACCGAGGCTGAAGTCACCAGCCCAGCCTCGCTGCCCCACCTCTCTGTCTTCCTGGTCAGCAGCACCTGGGCTCTGGGCCCCTGCCTGCGGTCGCCCCTGCAGCCCTCCAACCTCCTGGCTGGCACCGCTGCTCTGCCAGCTGCTCTGGTCTCTCTGTGCCAGTGCCCCATCCTGCAGCTGGGGGGTGCTGGGGCTGAACAAGCCCCCTGACTCCCTCTCCTCAGGCTGGCCTGCACCCCGGCTGGCCTCGCCCGGGCTGTCTCCGCCGCTCGGAATCTTCTTCTCGAACTCCTCATCCTGCTGCTGAGCTTCCTCCGGGCTGAACCCGCTGTTCAGGGCTCTCCTTCCGAAGCCTCTGTCCTGGGGGCTGAGGGCCGTGGGGCTGCCGCTGATGCTGTAGTCCCTCATCCAGGCACTCTTCCCGAAATCCTGGTCCTGCTCTGCCCCCCGGCTGCCGTAGGTGCCAAGTGAAGAATCTCTCTTCCCAAACTGCTGCTGGTCGGCATCCTGGCTGCTGTACCTGCCCGAGACATGGTCCTTCTGCCCTACTTTCTGGCTCTGCTCGTCCACCTCCTGGCTGGCATAAGCACTCAAAGAATCTCTCTTCCCAAACTCCCAGTCCCCGAGACTCCCAGCCCGACCACTGTAAGTACCCAAGGAATCCCTCTTCCCGAATTCCTGGTCCTGGAGCTCCGCATCCCGGCTGGAGTAAGTGCCCTGGGAATCCCTCTTTCTGAACTCCCAGTCCTGAGCATCCGCCTCCTGGCTCTGCTGAGTGCCGAGCTGGGCTGGCTTTCCAATCACCCAGTCCTGGGCCGCGAGCCCCCCCAAGGCAGACGCTCCACTGCCATCTGGACTGCCCAGCTCCATGTCCTCCTGGCCAATGCCACACCTGCCAGCCCAGTCCCTGGCGCTCCCTTCCCCCATGCCTTGCCCACATTTGCTGGACCAGTCCCTCTCTCCAAGGCCTGGGTCCCCTCTATGGCAGGTGCCCCCAAGGCCATAGTCCTGAGAAATGTCCTGGGACCAGCTGGAGGGGCCAAAACTGCTGGGCTGTGGGTCTGCTGCAACCCCAAATTCAGTCTGTAGATCCTTCTGGGCCCAGCCAAGGAGTCCCTGTGAATCAGAAAAAGAGGGAGAGACAGAGAAGCGATGCTCAGAGTCAGTCGGGGCGGGAGTCCATCCAGAATGAGGGTCAGCACTGCCCAGCGCCCCAGAGCCGCACCTTGGCAACGGAAAAGCCTGGGTCTGCTTCCCAGCTGTGTGACCTTGAGCAAATCACTTAACTACTCTGGGCCTCGGGCTCCTCATCCTTAAACAGGGATAATTCCTACTGCAAGAGTGGTTAGGGAGAACCAAACGAGATCACCAAAGCCAAGCACTCAGCACAGTGCCTGGCACGCAATCCAGGCCATCGACCCCCCCCGCCCCCCGGTCGTGTTTACAGGCTTGGGCAACACTTGGCTCCCAGCCAGGAGACAAGCTGCCCAGTGCAGTGGGCTCCATGGGACACGGGTGTGCGGTGCACTTTCAGTGAGGAGAGGCCAAGGCTCAGGGCCCCTCCACGGCCTCCCTGCCAGGGTAGGATTCCACCACCACCACCCTCTCCTAGCCCTCAGTTCCCAGCCCCACCTTCCCTGAGGGCCCTCTGCCCAGCCGGCCCCAGGAGGAACTCTCAGCCCCGGGGGAGGGCAGCGGGAAACAGGAGGGACAGCCTCTGGCACAGGCATGGGACCCAGCCGGGACTCCCTGCACCCCACACCCCATACTCCCTGACTCACGGCGGCGGGCGGGCGAGGCCTCCCAGCCTCGTCGCGCAGGGCCGCGTTGGCCAGCAGCCTCTCCAAGACAGACACGCTGGGCTCCCCGTCCCCAAGCCGGGCCATGGTCCCTGCCCCCTACACCCGCCCCGGGCTGCTGGGCTGCTGGGTTCGGCGGGCGCCAGGACGGGGCCGGGCCGCTCCCTGGCCTGGACCTGTCCGACGGCTCTGGCTCTGCTCCGGCCCACCCTGGCCCGCTCTCTCCCGAGCAGCTGCAGCTCTGGCGGCCCCGCCCAGAAGTCGGTTGAGTCACCCACATCCCGGGACAGACACACCTACTGCAGGAGCCAGCTCCGGTCTTAACTCCTTCCTGCTCCTCCTCTTCCTCCCCCTCCGCCAGAGGGACCCCTGGCTCCTCCTTCTTTACAGCCCCGCCCCTACCAGCCCAGGCTGGGCTAGAAAAATACACTTCAAAAGCCACCTGGACACCAGCCCTTACTCTCAGAGGCAGCTTGGTAGGAGAAAGGGCACTGGGCTGAGAACCGACACTCCTGTGCCCAGGCCTGGCCACCAACCTGCTGGGTAACCCTGCACAAGGCTCCGCCAGCTCTGGGCCTTGGCCGCCTGTCTACAGGGCAGGTCCTGAGCTCAGTGATAATAACTGTCATAAAAGCCAACCCTTACTAAGCACTCACGAGGAGCTGGGTGCCATTCTCAGCACTTTACAGGTATCATAGCTCATTGAGTCTTCGCAATCACCCTGAGGTAGAGCTCATCCTTATCCCCATTTTACAGATGCAGAAACTGAGAGGCACAGGTGGAAAAGTAACTTGCTCAAGATCACACCTGGGCAAGTGGACGGCACAGCCAGGAGAGGAACCCAGCCAGTCTGGTTCCAGAGCCCACACTGTGACTACACGGCGTTGCCTTGCATCACGCTGGTCCTAGCAACGGACCAGACACTCACTCCGTATGTGCCAAGCACCGAGCTGTTCCGCCATCTCATTTTACCTGCAGTTCATCTCCAAGAGGCAGCTGTTGTTATGGAAGGACCCTGAAGCTTAGAGGTTACGGCACACCCCCAAGAGCACTCGGCCAGTGGATGCTGGCACCAGATCCGAGCTCACACTAAACCCTAAGCACCGTCCCGCGGCCCCTGCCCTGTCGGCTTTGCGGGACTGCGCAGACGTGAGGCGCACGTTTACAGGTGCCTTGCTCACGGCTGTGTCCCCAGCTCTTGACACACAGAATCCACGCTGAAAGAACAAAGCCCATCAAAGCCATGGCTTCCATCCACTGATGTCCCCACCTTCCCCCTGCCCATCCTCACCTCAGAGCAGGCACTTAGGGTCTGTGCATCCTTCAGCTCAGATCCAGCTCCCCGCCTCACACTGCCAACACTGGGTGGTGGCGAAGCCAGGAGGTCGTCCAGCCAGTGGGAGCTGCTTTCAGGGCCTGCGGGCTCGGGGGACGCCCTACAGGGGTCTTGAGCCTCTGTCATGGGTTGGGTGGTCTCAGCCCGGGCCAGGGTCACAGCCTCCTCTTTGGCAGGCAATGCCTGCCTGAGGTCAGGAGTGTCAGCAAAGAGGACACAGGGTTGGTCAGGGGGTGCTGGCTGCTGCTGCCCCAGGACCGGCTCCAAGACAGGCAGGGCGGCCTCACTGGTGGCCAGAGGCAGCAGGGACTCCTGTCCAGCCAGGGGCTGCCGCTCCTCGCACCTCTCCTCCGCCTGCAGCAAGGCTGATTCAGGTGAGGCCCCTGCTGTTGGTGCAGGATCAAGGGGACCAGCCGAGGACGGAAGCTGACCTTCCCCATCACCCTTCTGGACTGGGTAGATGCCATGATCATCCGCCTGCACCCAGGAACCAGGCCTTTCCGGCTCCTCTGGAGCTGACTGGGCCCCTCGCCCCTGCTGGGACACTCCCTCCCTGCTGGATGCAGCCCGGTCACCAGCCTCCTCAGCCCCAGCCTCCGCAGCCTCAGCCTCCGCAGCCTCAGTGGCTTCAGTGATGGGGGAAGGGGGTGGAGAGTCTAGCCGCCACACCCCTAGACCAGAAGGCCGAGTGGGGAAGGTCCACTCAAAGGACTGTGACAAGCTCCAGTTGGACTCTGTCCCACTGCCAAAGGGACGATGATCCAGGGCCGACTGGCTCTCCTGGGTTTGGGGCAGGTCAGCCAGCGAGCCCCCCAGCTTCTCCTGGTCTTGGCCGGGTGGCCGGAGCAAACCTTCAGAAAATCGGCGCTGAACCAGGCTGGCGGGGCGGAGGTCTCCGTCAGCCCTGGCCACCTCCTCAGCAGATGGAAACGTCCGATCGAGATCCAGGAACTCGCCCCCATCTACCAGGGGCCTCGGCGAGGCGGCTAGAGGCTGCTCTGGGCTGTGGCGCCCTGAGACCTTCTCCATGGGAGAGCTGCCAGGGCTGGGGGCCTCTGGGACCTCGGCAGCAGGGAGCTCTGGGCTAGGGGCATGACGAGAGCCCTCCTCAGGCAGGGCCACAGTCAGGGATGCTGGAGTCACGGGAAGGCAGGGAGAAGGCCGAGAAGCAGCAGGGCTCTGGGCTTCTTCTGGAGGCTGAGAGTGGCGGGGAAAGCTCTCAACGAGTGAGTGAAGTCGGGAAGGCCCAGGGCCTGGGCCTGAGGCTTCGGCAGGGAGGCCTGGGCTGGCAGAGCCTCCATTCTCCGAGTTGGCACCTGGACTTGAGGGGACCCAGGACTTGGAAACCTGCAAGAGAAAGGTCAAGAGCCATCACTCACCTTTTAGGTGAGTGGGAGAAGCCCCTGCCAACCCCATATGGACAGCAGGTCAGCTGCTTCCTCACACTCTCATTCCATAGACAGGAAGAAGAAAGTGGGGGGCCTCTCAGGACAACTGGGAAAAGGCCCCAAAGATGAGTTAGGACTTCTCAGGGTTCTCAGACCCCTCCTTTAGGCCCTCTCCCAAGAAAACACATCTAACCTTACAACCTTGGTCACGTGGTATCACCCACACCGCTTCAGGGGTTCAGGTCCTCCCTCCCACTCACCCCAAAGCTCATCCAAGGAGTCCATGGTTCATGGGTCAAGATCACTGGCTTCGTAAAGGGAAAAGGAAATGAGGGGATCTGACCACCCCGTCATGCGGGAGTTCTGCCTCAGCAGGACTTTAAGCCCAGCAGAGCCCCAGACCAGCTCCCAGGGGTGGCTCAGGATGGGTGCGGAGCTCCACCCTGCTCTGTGTCCCCACAGAGCTGCCGGGGATGCAGGCAGGCCTCAGGCTTCGGGCACAAGCACTAAGGGACCTGAAAGCTCCTGGCATGGAGTGACCCCGGCACTGCCTCTCATAAGCTGTAGCCCCCACACACACCCTATATGGTGGTCGCTTGGTGTGTGTGAGCCTCAGCCGCCCCTTCTGTTCACTGGGGCTGGTGGCAACGATGTCCCCCTCACAGAGTCAGGCAAGGAATATTTAAATTTGTGCACGTGGCCTCTCAGGACAATGGAAGGTAGGCGGAGGAGGAGGGCAGAGGGGCATCAAGCACCCGGCACTCCACCACTCTATTCGGCCTGGCCCCAGAGAACGAAATGCGGCTTGCTCTATCTGACCTTTGGTCAGGCTGACCCAGAGGTCACGCTTCCCTTTGCCACCCCCTCCAATGGCTGCTGGGCCCAGGCAGAGGAAGGCATCCTGCTTGCTTCTCAAGGCCCCTTCCACGGCCTCTGTCCTCCCTCCTCTCTACCACACTCTAGTTTTAAAGCTCTTGCCCTTAAACTACATCACCCGCACTAGGGGACAAGCACTAGTTAGAGTCCCTACAGAACCCTGTCATTCCCTGAAAAGCGCAGCGCCTGGATCGCCGCAACCCTCCCCGGCACCACCCTCGCTATACTCCGCAGTGATTCCAAGAGCCACAGTCAACCCGTCCAGCACCCTGGCTCTGTTCCTGGACGGCCTCTTCCCCGATGACTTCATGACCCGCCTCTCCCCGAACTCTGTCCTCATCAATGAGCAGAGCCCACTACCATCTCAATTTCAAGTGTGCCGCTCACTCGCTCCCACCTCCTACGTATCCAGGTGCCTTTTTCAATCTCCCTACGTCCCTTAATCCTTCAAGCCCTCTGGCACGCACAGTCGCTAACCCTCCTTCCTTGTCACTGTTCCCCGGTCCCTTCTTGCCCCCGCTTCCCTCTTTACCGCCATTAAAGTCACTTTCTCACACAAACCTCAACACCATCCTTCACCGTGCTGTTTCGCACACAGCTCCCCTACAGTCCCAGGAGATGCGTTCAACCTGTCTCCTCAGACCTCAGACACCTCCTCCCACCTTCTCAGCTGCTGGCCTTGCTTCCCCATTCCCTGAGAACAGAGAGGCCATGGCAGCGGGCACCTGCACCCCCACTACCTGTGTGCGAGCCCCAGCACTCTGCGCCCCTCCTCTGACTGTGCACCGTCCTTGCTCAGAGCTGAGGCCAGCCCCACCCCTGTCTCCTGCGTCACTGACTTTCTCCTCCTCTCCCGGATCACTTCTATCAGCACACAAACTGCTCTCATTTCTCCTGTCTTAAGAAAGAAAGAACTCTTGGCCTTACCTCTCTCTCCAGCTACCACACGTTTTCTTGAACGGGTCACATCTACCTTCACTGTCTACCCTGTCATTTGGCCCATTCTCACCTGAACCCACCCCAGACAGGCTTCTTCCTTCGCCTTGCCACCTAAATGCTCTCGTCAAGGTCACCATGTTTCCCTGTAGCTAGATCCCCTTCTCAGTGCTCACCTCGCTTGACTTCTGAGCAGCATGGCTGACCGCGCGCCCCGGCTGATCACGCGCCCTGGCTGACCGCGCACCCCGGCTGACCGGGCACCCCGGCTGACCACACACCCCGGCTGATCGCACGCCCCACTCCAGCCTGGAAGCGGGCTCCCTTTGGCCTCCATGATCCCACTCTTCGCCATCTCGCCACTGCTCCATCCCATCTCCTCCAAACTCTTCGCTCCTGTACCTCACCCGCTCCCTTGGTGATCTCGGCCAGTCTTAACTACCATCTGTAAACTGACAGGTCCCTGGAATGCCAGATTCAAATTGCCAACTGCCTACTCAGGATTTCCACGTGGATGTCTAAAAGGCACCGCAGACTCAGCCGATGCGGACGCCAACTCCTCGCATCTCCTCCGATCCTGCCTCACGCTTAGAGGAGTCCCCGTCTCACAAAATGGTAACCTCGTCCTCCTGGTAGCTGTCTTAACAAAGAAAGAAAGGGTCACATCTACCTTCACTGTCTACCCTGTGAAGTCCAAAGCCCTGGCATCATCCTGGATTCTGCACTCTCTCTCTCTATTATCTATCCATCTGCAAATCCTGTCCTCCCTGCCTTCAAATTCCATCCAGAGCAACCACTTCTCGTCATCGGGCCACAGGCTGCCTGTAGGGTGTAAGCCACCATCACGTTGCTCCTGAATTATTCCAACAGCCCCCTGGCTGGTCCGTGCTGCTGCTCTTAGTTCCCTGCAACCGAAAGGGCAAAGTGACTCTACAACTAAACCAGAGCACGTCCCTCCTGTCCTCAAAACCCCTCGATGGCTTCTGCCCCTCACTCAAGCTCAATGCGATCAGTCCTCACCTCTCTGTCCTCACTGCCACCCAACTCCCCCCTCTTGCTGCGATCCGGACATCCTGCTTCCTTGTCAGGAAGGTACCAAGTCCTTTGTCGCTGCAGTTCCCTCTGCCAAGGACGCTGTTCCCAAAACGTCCACACAGCTCACTCCCTCACCTTCTTCACTGGGAGCCCTTCCCCAACCGCCCTCATCCCAGATCTGTGTATCTTGGTAGGTGTCCCCCGCAGTAGTCTGACTGCGTATCTGCTGGCTCACGAGCATGTCTGTGCTCGTGTCGGCCTCTCGCATTAGGAGGTGTGCTCCCAGAGAAGGGGGACGGTGTGTGTTGTGTTCTCTGCTGTTTCCCCAGCTCAGTAAACATTTGCTGGATGGACACGCAAAGTCAGGTCCCCACTGCCGGGCAGGCAGGGCGGCCTCTGTGAGCAAGGGGACCAGTCTTTACACCGTTTACTCAGGAAAGCAGGCTGACCATCCTCCCAGCACACTGTGGGGAGAGGTGGGGGTATAACAGGAAACCCCCAAGAAAAGACTTCCACTGAACCCTGAGAAGGCAGCCCAGTTCACTTATCACTGGAGTCAGATAGTTCAGATGCCACCTCGGCCCCTGCGTTAAGTTACTTAACCTCCGTGAGCCCTGGCATCTCACCTCTCACGTGGGACCAATGGGGCCCCCTAGCCAGAGTGGCCACAAAAACTGTTAGTCAACGTTCCTGGAACATGCCCAGCACACAGTAGGTACTTGTTCAATAGCAGTTGTTACCAGTTATAGATAATTACTGCAATCAGTTGATAGCAGTTGATAGCAATTATGGATAATTACTCTTTCTAAGGAGCAGCCTCATGGCCTGACCACACCTGATTGACAGCACTGGCCTAAGAGTTGAGAAATCTGAGTCCCAGGGTCAGGCCCTGGGCGAGTCACCTCCTCCGTGGACCTCAGTGTCCACATGGGAACTACCAGTAGGTGGACAAGATAATCTCAGATGGCCCTTCCAGCTCTGAAATACTATAATTCTGTTTCATAACAAGGTAACTCACGTTGGTAGGTGGCTCCGAGCTGGCCGGCTGAGCCAGGTCCCCCTTGAAGGGCCGGTCCGAAGTGGGGCTCCTGGGAAGGAGAAAGATAGGAAATAGAAGTACAGAATGGAGAAGCCTGTCACAGATGAATAAGGGGACACGGCCATCTGATAAGAGTCTGCCTAAGTGACTTTAACAATACCCAAAGTCACCCCCCACTCAGTGGCATTTTCTACTGAGCCCTGCCTGGAACCACTGGGGACTGAAAAGCTGTGCAGTTTCCTAAGAGAAAGTGCCCCAGGGGACAGTGCCTGTTCTGTCCCTGCACATCAAGGGTTAAACTCCCCCAGTCCCTTTAGGAAAAGTATCCTGTATGCCCAGACCCCCCCAAGGGTTCCCTCAAGGACAACCCTCCTTCCCAATCCCCTAAGGGGTTAATGTTCTCCTCCAGCCCTGAGAGCACAGCTGGTCTGGCTGCCCTGCCAATACTTCTTGAAGGATCAAAGAGGGAGGGAAAGGGGGAGAGTGATTTTCCAAGGCTGAAGTTGTTCCTCTTAAGCTCTGCTGGAGCCAGGGAGGAGAGAATAGAGGGCTGAACCCAGCCTGGGAGCCCTGGCCTGGCACAAAGAAGGGTGAATGGGGAGCCCTGCCCTCCAGGCACTCACAGGTGAGAGGAAGACAAGGCTGGAAATCAGGGTAGGGCAGGGGCCTGCAGCTTTGGGCTCAGCCCAGACCATAGCAGCCCTGCCCTTCACAGCAGCAGGAAGGGGAAGGGAAACTCTGGGCCCAGTAGAGCCACCAAGGGCCCAAGAGGCCAACTGTGCCTCAAGCTGGCTCCACTGCACCGGAAGATGGCCTCCATGCAACTGATGGCCTGAGATCCCTCAGCCTCTTCCTCCAGTGCTCTGTGCCCACTGCCCCTAGGGGCACCTCCTTGCCAGCCTTCCCTCACACTGGCACCAACTTTGGAGAAGTTTATTCCATGCAACAGCCTCCAATCTGGCTGTAATCTGTGCAGTGCCACTAGCTGGCCTGGCATCAAAGTGTGTTCACGTCTTATCTCTCCCATCAGACTCCTCACGGGCAGCCATTCTTATCCTGACACACACACACCCCACCCCACCCCACCCCACACCACACCATACCACACCACCCCACCCCCAGCACCTAGCACAGAGCTCCACCCACAGGAGCCAGCAGTTAAGAATACATGCTTTGAAATCAAATAGACCCGAATTCAAACCCCAGCTCTGTCTCTTACTTGCCGAGGAGCCATGGGAAGTCACTTTTGAGCCTGTTTCCTCATCTCTAAAATGGGTCTAATACTCCCTTCACTAAACAGCACGGCTACAGCTTAAAAGAGGTAAAGTTCAGCTCTCAGGATAAAAAACTAGTATTTCCATACTGTACGTTTGAACTCTACCCCAAACACACGACTCTGTAAAGAGAATTACAATGCTAAAGAGAACACAGTCACGATCACACTGGCCACTGGCGGAATGCTTTGTGACTTAGACGAGGTTCTGCCTGCACTCATGGTACACAACTAACTTAAAAGTGAAGGTCACAGTCCCAGATGGGCCACCCACTTTGTCCTCACCTCTCCTTGGGGGTCTGGCTGTGCTCTTCCAGGCACTCTGTAGATTTTGCAGGCCTCTCCTGGGACCATCCCCTGGAGAAGGTCCCACCATCCTCATCCCTGGGACCTGCAGTCACGCCATAGGTCCTGGGGCCATATCTCGAGCTGCCATCATGGTTAAAGGTTAGGCGGGAGCCCCAGAGGCGGTCAGGACTGGCAGGGACCTCCTTGCGAGGCTGCTCCATTTTGGCCAGGATCTCTTCCACCGTGGTGGCTGCGAAGCGCTCCGAGGCTGGACGGAAGGGGGCAGGCGCCTTCCGCACGCCCCCCGGAGCGGCGCATCGAGCCGGGGGTGTCAAGGGGGGCATCTCTTCTCTCCCAGCCTCCTCTTTCTCAGTCTCTTGGGTGGCTTCTCCAGGAGAGGCCTCAACTGCTGGTCTTGGTGCAAAGGGAAGGGGACGCTTGCTGCCACCATAGGGCTGGGGTCCCGCCAGCATGTTCATCTTCCGTGCAGAAGGCAGCTCTGCCAGGGGACCCCGGGGGGGCCGAGGCCCAACAGGCACCAGCAGGCTGGGCTTGGCAGGCAGAGCTGGCTTGGCAGGCAGGGCCCGGGGTTTGGGCTTGACAGGGGGTTTGGCCCGAGGGTCACCTACAGAAAGATAAGGGTTGGTTGGGGGTGTTACTGTCAGAAGAACAAGGAAGCAGAACACCTCCCACCCTATAAATTCAATGTTCACATCCTTCTAGGCATAAGTCAAATGTCACCCCTTCCATGAAGTCTTCCTTGATTTTTCATACACATCTCAGAAGCATCCTCCCCTATCTCTAAACTCCCAAAATGTTTAGTCAATCTCCCTAATAAGTTAAACCTATTTAAAGGCCCAGCTGTCACCTTCTCTCTCCCTGTACCCTACTTTAAACCTAGCACACCTTCTTTTCAAACAGACGAACAAACGAATAAGCAAATGAGCCAATAAACGAATGCCTACCTACCCACATCAAGCAGTCAGCCCACCATCTGCCCACTCCAGTCCAGTCTCCTTACATGGCACTCCACTATCCTGTGATCCATAGTAAACTTTTTAACCCAGCTGAGCCTCCCTACTCTGCCTCCTGGCCACCCCTCCCCAACTGCACACCTAGGCCACCTCCCTACTGTCATCTCGCCAGTGATCAGGATTACAAACTTACTATTGACCTAACCCACACAGAAGTCAATCTGCTACAGGAAAAAACACAAGACCAGAAATCTACCTTCTATATAAGGCATTCCAGAGCCAAATAAAAGAGCCTGGAATTACTCATGGCCACATGTGCACACCCTCTCTCCTCTGAGCCCCCATCTCCTCCTCTTAAAACGCACACCTTTACCTACATCATCTAGGAGGTTAGCCTCTTCTTATCTGCTAGAGATCTGTGACCTCAGACGGTTCTGAAGGGTCTCGCCAGGGACTGAGAACCTTTCAAACCATCCTGCATGTTCTCAGCAGCCCTCCCTCCCTCCCTCACCACCTCGACAGAACCGTCACTCGCCCAGCCCCCCCAACACAGAATGGGGGTTCAGCCTCTGTCCCTCCCACCATCCTCCCAGCCACCCTGCTCCACCCTGCACCCATAGGCACCTGGCTCCGGGCCAGCAGAGACCAGCTCCTCCTCCATCTCCCGGGGCGGGGAAGCCATGGTTTTGCCTTCCCTGAGAGCAGACACTTTCATCACATGCGGCAGAACCTGCATGAGAATTGGGAAGCAGAGGGGTGTGAGCTGGGGTGGCCAGGACCCAGGAAGAGAGAGAGAGAGAGGAGGAGGTTAAGAGAGTTGGGCGTTGGCAGTAAGCTTGGTGGAGGGAAGTCTCCTACGCCAAGCAGAGGCAGAGTGTGGGACAGGAAGAGGGAACTTCAGAGCGGGGTGAGGGAGGTCAAGACAGGTCCCCAGCAGCCACATCCTCAACTCTTCCCAGATCGCGCTCCAACTCTGGTCTCCTGACCCCAAAGTCCTGGAGCTCCAGGGAGCTGCCCACTTTTCACTCCTCTGGGGAGCTCTCCTAGACACCCCACTTACCGTTCCCAGGGCACCCCTTGGGTCCGGCAGCCCCGGTTGAGGTATCTACTCAGGGGCTGAGCAAGAAGGCCCCAAAGTCTGAAGTCTCTCTGTGAATCACCTCATGGGAGACGGGAAAAACCCGCTCCTCCCCAACCTGGGGCTCCACCCCACTGCCAGCCTCCCCCTTCCCTGCTCACCCTCCTCTCCTCCCTCCCTCCTGCAGCTGGGAGTGGTTCCCTCCTTCCCTCTCCTCCCTTCCCCCTCCTCCTTCCACATCCCTGCCCCACTCCCGCCTGCCTCAGAGCTGTCTCATCCAAACACGGAAAAATAAGGAATAAGAAGTAAACATCTGGAATACATTTTTTTCTTTAATTTCTCAATCGCTTTGGCTTCAGCTTGGAATTTGATGAGGTAAAGCCAGGGCCTAGTCCTGTTGCCATAGCAATGGCCTCCCACTGGATTTCCACAGCAGCGCCAAGAGGAAGGAGGAGCCCGCCCGGGCCTGGGCTGGGAGAATGGGACAGGGCTTGAGAACATCCGGGGGGTGGAGTGGCTTGGGGGGAAAACTCCCCGGGGTTCCCACTTCCAGAACAGTCAGGGTGGGACAGCCACAGTCTGTGAACTGGGGATGTGTGAGCAGCTCTCACCAGCTTGGGGCTGGCCTGAGGAGTTTTGAGGGAACAGAAGAAGAAATTTAAAAGCAAGTGACACAGCCCTAAGGTAGAAACCAAATAGGTGTCCCTCCTCTAAGCCTGTGCCAGGAACAAGCTCTGGGGTCTGATAAACCGGGATTCAATGCCGGGTGGATCTACCACTGTCTAGCTGTGTGCCCTCAGGCATAGTGCTTTACTTCTCTAAGCCTCAGTTTCTCTATGTGAAAAATGGAGCTAAGCAGGGTCGGGCCTGGTTAGTACTTGGAGGGGAGACCACCTAAGAAGACCCAGTTCTGTAGGCGTAAAAAAGAAGGGATTGTAAGCTGACAAGGTCCTTGCAATTTGTGAGGTCAACCAAGGGTTGCCTCACCTAAAAAAGAAAAAGAAAAAGAAAAGAAAGATGAAGTTACTGAGACTGTTGGAAGGCTAATGGGAGATCATACATGCAAACTGCTTAACATAACGCCTAGAGGGTAAGTGCCCAATGAACACTGGCCATTATTCGTGCAATTCCATACAGTGTCACCAATGAGCTAAGATCCTTAGTAGCCACCGCCTCCTCTCTCCAGACCATTCATTCCTTCATACATACAGGCCCCAGGCATGTCACCTGTTCTTCAGATGCTCCACCACCTCCTCAGTTCTTATCTTGACTCCTGAAGCACCATCCCAAGCCTGGGGGACAGAGCCCTGTCCCTCTTGTTCCAAAAGAAGGGAGATATTTCCCATTACAGAGCACAGAGCCCGAGAGGACAACCCAACCTCCTCCAACCTACAATGGGCACTGCCTTCCACAAAGTCACTAATCCAGCTGGTCTGGGAAGACACCAAATGCTAAGAAGGGCCCTCTGAGGCCCAACCTTTGCCAAACAAACCCACCCCTCACCTTTGACCCTGCCCCAGCTTGTTTCAAAGACGGAAGAGTTTGAAGAGGGTAGAGAGAAACCCAGGACTGTCAATTCCCTTGGTCAGCCGACTTCCACGGAGCACTGCTCCCTGTGGGTGGGGGAATAACTGTGCAGAGCCAGCCCACGTGTGCGTGGGGGAGGGGCACATGATAGAAAAATAAAATTAAAACACAAGATTGTCTCCTTGTCCTTGAACATTATTACAAGGGACATGGTGTGGGTGGGTAGAAATGGGGACAAACTGGCTCAGAACCGAAAAACTCTCTCACCTGGGAGCCTGATGGGCACTTCTGCAGTATGAAGGGGTACAGCAATGAAGTGGGGGCTCGACTTCCCCACTTGAGGAGGGGCCACAGCAGCACAGAGGCCATGGCCAGAAAACCCAAGTGACCAAGGCCATAGCCAAAAGCTGCAGAATCACAGCGGCTGAGCACTCCCCTCTCCAGGAGTCCGGGGTAGACTAGCTGACCCGCGAGAGCAAAGGCTGCCACAAGGGCTGGGGAGAGGCTGGGCACCTCCAGCCCGGGGCAGGGGACCAGAGAGGCATCGGCACGGGTGGGGTCGCCCCTATGGACCCCGGGATCTCCGGCTGTATCTGGGGCCAGAGAGGTCGGCAGGGACAGCACGTAAATTACTGGAGGGAGGGCCAACGGGAAGACGGAACAGCCCGGGGCGAGGGCCGTCTGGAGGGGCCCGGTGGGGAGATCTGGACACAGAGGGGACAGCAGCAGCCGAAGTGGAGGAGGAGAAGAGAGTGGAGGAGGAGGGGGTGGCAGCGACGGAGGACCTGAGCGCGGGATGTGAAGCAGCCAGCGAACAGACAGGGACTGGGCAGGCAGACGGGGTGGGGGCGGACTGAGCGGCTGAGGGCGTGCCGAGGGAGCCGG